ACCTCTACAATTACCTAATTTTTTGTCACAAAAAAAAAAAAAAAGGAGCAAATTAGTCACAAATGTATATAAAATTGATAAAATATTGAAATGGTAATAATTTTAGAAAATTTTAATAATCTTAAATATAGATATATACCTTTTATAAATACTTTCAACATAGAATAATGCGAATAATTTTTTAAAAAAAAAATGGAAATAAATGTATTCATAAGATAAAAGAATGATTTTTGCCACATTTATTTATGAAAATTTGAGAATTCATTGGTAGAAATAAACAATTTAAAATTAAACATAAATAAAAAAAAAAAAAAAAAAAACATTAATAAAAAATTATGATAATATTACTATAATTTTTTTCTTTTTTACTTCTCTCTCTTTAAGTTACAAAGTGAGGAATATTTGCTGAGAAATTGTCCGCTTGAATTTTACGCTATTTTTGATCACATTCGATATTTGAATTATTCCGCTCGACCAAATTACGCATTAATTACACGTAAATTAAGTGGAATTTGTCAGCGAAAGCGTTATGCGTTGGATGATCCATACGATTGGGAAGAAGGTGGAAGGTACATTACCTTTAGTTTCCTTTTATTTTCATTTTTCATTTCATATTTGATTTTCTATAAATTATTTTATAATATAAATATTATTTATGTAAATTTTATACGCACATTTGTTCGTATATTACCTTTTCCTTGCATTAATTCTTCTCTCTCATATGCTAAACATGTTTTAGTAACTAATAATCAAGAAATTGAAAATTAAAAAAATTGTAAAACTTTTATCAAATTATTTTTAAAAATTATCAATAACAGTGGTTGTAAGCTAGATGATAAAGATTGTACGGTAATTTCATTTCTCGTCGAGAATACCATTTTAAAATTTTGTCTCGTTTCAAAATTACACTTCAATATGTATTTATCATTTTATCATATATTATATTAACAAATGTTGATGTAAAGTTTTACAAAAAAACATTAAAGCTTTTTTTATCATTTATTAATTTTATTAGATTAATTATTGAATGAATTTCAAAATGATTTATTTATCAACGGAAAGAAAGAAAAAAAACATTAATTTATAGATATTATGAAGAGATTTCTTTACAAAAAGTTGACAAAACTAAAATGAAAACAAAGACAAAATGTATTATCGATGAAAATAATGATAAATTAGCAAAATTAAAAGTGGAAGAAATCGAACAAATTGGCAAACAACAAACGGATGAAATGCAATCAAATCATAAATTGCAGTACGATTTGATATATTTTCCAATTTTTGTTATCATTTATTTGCATTATTGTCTTTATTGTTCATTAATATTTAAGATATTATTTTTGTAAGAAATACTATTTATTATAAAGAATATAATTTGTTGGATAAATTAAAATTAATTTAATTATGCTACTACTACGATATTTATTTTACGTATTTTTGTTTTTTGTATGAAATAAAATAAAATTAATAAATTGAAAAAATTTTCAGCGATTTGGCTCATATTTCATCAATAATACAAAAGGATGAAAGTATCAGATTGTCAAATTTAAATGAATCAGAAATACTTACCCACAACAATGGCTTGCAAAATTGTTCAACAGAAACTTCCCCAAACTTTATGCATTAATTATTTGAAGGAAAAAACAAAACAAAAATATCGCAAATTGATCACTGCTCTCATCATCATATTATTATTGATTCATTAAAATGATAGATAGGTCAAAGGTTACACGATAAACATATATCAGTGAAAACATATTGTGCATTTTTCTAGATTTTAGAAAGAAAAATTATGGATATGAAATGAAAGTAAACAAATCATATATTCAGAAAAATAATAACAATTAAAATTAATTAACTAACTAATAATTACAAAAGAGAATAGCAAAAATAATGAAATAACAACCATTTGTTTATAATTATAAACAAAAAAAAAATGTTTGTGGCTTTTTCTGTTTTTGTTTTGTAAACAGAATGACAGTATATTTAAAGATGAAAGGAATGTAGCAGTCTTTTTTTTTTTTCATAAATTAATAAACAAAATAAAAATGAAAAAGAAATAATTAAAATTGCAATTATGTAACCACAAATATTTCAAATAAAATTTAAAATAATTACAACTAACAAACAATAACAACAACGAAATTAACAGTTCTTATTGTATAAATTATACAATAAGAACTGATAAACAAGCAAATAATTAAGAATTATTTGCTTGTTTAATCACTAAAAAGCATAAAAAATGAATAATCTTTGCTAAGTAATAATGAAATCAATTTGCTAATATTTTCAAAATTTTGGTTAAAAAAAAGGGAATTTGCAATAATTTAAATAATAAATATTGTTGTAAGAGAGAGAGAGAGAGAGAGGGAGAGAAGAAAGATGATAAAGAGAATTAATGAAGAAATGTGATAATTTCATTCGATCAGTGATAACGTCAGAAGCGATCAACGAAGACAACTATTGAAGGAAATATAAACTCGTTATAAAACTATGTTACTAAACCACAAATTTCAACAATAAGTACGAAACTGTTACAACGTTGTTTATTGCTACTTTTTCTTTTAAAAACATTTCTTTACTTTACTGTTATAATAATAATAATAATTTTAAGTACTCAAATAAATACTTCTATTTCTGTTATCTATTATCTTCATAATGAAAGTAATAATCATCATAACAATAAATAATAATAATATTTTAAATACAAATACAACTAGCACTCGTTACTCTTACTATCACACTATTGCTGTAACAATAGTAAATTATAAGTATTGTAATAATATAATAAATTGCAAATGCTATGATTATATTTATATATTTTTGATAATTTATTCTTAAGAATGCAGTGTGCTACATAGCTTTTTCAGAAGACATTATAATAACATCGAAAAATATATCACAATATTATAATAATATCAAGAATACATAGCTATTCGTTTTTTTTGATCTTATTGTTGATATTATGATATATTTTTTGATATTAGAATAATATATATGATTTTTTTTTTAAATATTACTATTAGAATATATGAATTAAAGAAAAAGAAAGTGCAGAAAAGAATTTTATTTAATATCGTTTTGCAGTTTTTATTTGATTTCATTGATATTTCCCATATAATTTGACAAATTTCACGACAATAAAGCTTTCCTTATTCTGCTTAATTGCATAGCTATAATAAGCAGAGAGAATATTTTATTGGAAACACTTAGCAATTGAAAGTTTAAAAAAAATGATAAAATGTAATAGCATGTATAATTTTCTTTTTTAAAGCATAATTTCTGTGCTAACAAATTTTGATGAAATGTGATATGAATTTCAATATTTTATTTTTATATTACTGATATTAAAATTTACACTTCATAAATAATATAAGCTAAATTTGATTGCTATAAGAATGAGAATAATTTAAATCTTTCAATGCCATTAAAAACCGATAATACTTAGATCAATAAAATAGAAAAAGTTATTAAATCGTATTACTCTGACTGAAATTATTGTAATTGGAAAAATATTGGAAAACAATAAAACATAATTGATGCATCTCAAATTAAATTAAAATAATTCCATGTAAAAATCAATCGATTATTAATATAAACAATATTTTATGAATTATTCAACCAATTTCTTATCCACTCATTCAGCCACTTTCTCATGCATTTTCCCATTTGTCTTGAATTTAACTATTTTCCCATCTTTTTCTCTTCATTACCATTCTTAGCTAAAATAAAAAAAAGTGGAAGTATTTCCTACCCGCCGGGTAATTCTATCAGATATTCCTTAGCACAGTTTTTTTTTCGTATACCTTTTTTTTCTATGTTTGAGAGAATTTATCTTTACTTTTCCACTTTTACCCAACAATTACTTCCTACTTTATTTGGATCTAACTTCACATTACTTCTACTCACACCAAAGCGAATTCCTTTGCAATCAACGAATAAGAAAATCTCTTCTTGTCGAGAAATAGAAGTATTATTTGAGTACTTAAAATTATTATTATTATTATAACAGTAAAGTAAAGAAATGTTTTTAAAAGAAAAAGTAGCAATAAACAACGTTGTAACAGTTTCGTACTTATTGTTGAAATTTGTGGTTTAGTAACATAGTTTTATAACGAGTTTATATTTCCTTCAATAGTTGTCTTCGTTGATCGCTTCTGACGTTATCACTGATCGAATGAAATTATCACATTTCTTCATTAATTCTCTTTATCATCTTTCTTCTCTCTCTCTCTCTCTCTCTCTCTCTCTCTCTCTCTTACAACAATATTTATTATTTAAATTATTGCAAATTCCCTTTTTTTTAACCAAAATTTTGAAAATATTAGCAAATTGATTTCATTATTACTTAGCAAAGATTATTCATTTTTTATGCTTTTTAGTGATTAAATAAGCAAATAATTCTTAATTATTCCTAATTTATCAATTCTCACCGTAGCAATTGTCGACAATAATTTATTAGAATTCATATTTCACTTAAATAAGTTACAATCACTGATTTAAATTATTTTAAAATTCATAGATTGGTATCATCCTTTCATGTCATCCTTGCTACTTTCAGTCATTTGTCATACCACAAATATTATTTCTGACTGTTGAAGAAGTTCAATCATTCTCAATCGTTTTTCATATCAACTGCACATTTTAATAGGTCATCATCATCACATACATATCAAATAATTCGATTTACGATTCATCTTAAAAACTTTGCAATCTTTCATTGTTTAATCGAACACATTCAAACATACATCAAATGTTAGTCATTTCTCATCGTTCTATTTCAATTTTATATCAAATATTTTCCATGAAAATTTGATTGCTAAAAAAAATGTTTCTTATTTGTTTATTAAATTATGTATTATTTAAGATAAGAATTACCAGAATGCTACTATTCTAAAATAAGCAATTAATATTACCTTTATTTTATTATTTTCTACCTTTATTTCCACTCTTATTTTCAAGTTTTCAGATTCAAATTATTATTTTTCGTTTGCTTTTGAATGGTTTTAAAGCAGCAATATTACTTTGGTTTTAATTTATATCAAATTACTTTACGTATTATCTTCGTTCCACTAATAAAACGGTTGGATATTTATTATTTGTTGCAGATTGCTGTTATTGTTTATTGTTACTGTTTGTTGTTGTGACCCAATTCTTGATGATTTGTTCGAATAAGTTTTGATGATTACAATTAATGATTATTATATCTTATTCTCTTGATCTTATTAGTAAATTTATTACACAAAATATTAGTATTAATGTTGAATTGAATAGAAATTATTTTTTTAAGCTATAATAGTTTTGTTTATTTATTATATTTTCAAATTCACTGCATTTTTTTTTTTTTTAAATATGCAATTTTAGTTATTTTAATGGAATTATAAGGAATGCACCAGAATCGTTATCGATATTTTTCACCGATATAAATTGTAAATTACACTTTGGCACAACCAATGAAGAAATAATTAGGTTCGCTCTGAAAAGAAGAAAACAGAAAAAAACTTTTTTTTGCGTTTCTTTGTTTTATTTTTTAATATTTTAAAAGTAAGTAATCAATTTATGATTTCTTTGCTTCTTTTTTAGATGTAAAATACAGTTTACTGTATAGAAAGAATTTAAATTTAATTTAAAACTAATTTAAACTAATTTAAAAATACAACTAGAAATGAATATTTATTGATTTTCTAAAAAAGTAGTAAAAAACAAATATGCTAGTATAATCTCTTTTTTAATGATTTAAAATTATGTTTTAAAATTTTGTCACTTAATCAAATATATATTCAATTTATGCAATTTCTATCTTTTGTCATTTATTTAAAACTATAAAATATAAAATACAAATAGAAGCAATTAATGCTGTGAAAAAGAAAAATGAAATTACTGATAAGCAATGATATTATTTAAAGTAAAACAATAATTTTTCCTTTTTTTTTTTAGATCAAATAAATCAAATGGAATATTGCCGGTTATATTACTCATTCATAAACCAATTAATTTTTGTTTTCGAATTCTTTTGGATCCAAAAATTGGCCTCGGTGAAGCATACATGTTTGAGGACTGGGATACACAGCCAAGAATACAGGATTTCTTAGCATTGCTTATTCGTGCTAAACGTTAGCTTATTTACAAACATATATTTTAATTTAAAAATTTTTTATTAAATTTATCAATATTTAACACTTTGCTTTTTGCCGCTGTTATTATTAAATTAATTATAGCTTAAAAAAAAAAAGAAAATCCTTTTAAAAATTTTATTTAAAAACGAAAACAAAAAAAAAAAAATAAAACAAACTTAATTCCTTTTTTTCTTCTTTTTTATTACTTTAAAATAATTAAAATTAGGTAATCTACAAAATATTGTTCGTTAGTTTGTTTCTCAAATAAATTTTTATATGATTCAAGCTAATCAGTATAAGAATTAAAAAACTTTAATAAACTTAATGTAATGTTCGTTTTTTTTTTTTTTAGGTTATAATAATGGAACAAAAAAACTGAAAGAAACAAACGGATGGCTTAAAAAATTGTTTACTTTCTTAATTTATTTAATTATTCAATTAATTCGATCACTGATATCATTTTTCAATGCAATGCAACATTATTACCATTCAAATTCATTAAATGGTAGTGCACGAAATATTCATGAGCATTATGATCTTGGCAATGATATGTTTAGCTTATTTCTTGATTCATCCATGACTTATTCATGTGCAATTTTTCAAGGTTACTAATTTGCATATTTTTTTCTTAAATTTAAAATGTTGTCGTATATTTATAAAAAAATAAATAAGTAAATAAGAGAAAACACTTAGATAAATTTTACATAAATTATAAATTTATTTATTGATTTGTAATTTAAAACAAAAAAAAAAATTTTTTTCAAGTTTTTTTAAAGCTTTTATTGGATGCTTATAAAAGTCAGAATAAAGGGAATTTACATTTTGTTCGTTTTTTTTTTTTTTTGACTGAATTATTAAATATTAATATAATGAATAGCTAAATTGTTTTTTGTTTATTTATTTACTTTTTTTTTTATTCTGAAAATATTTCATTATTTTGATAATTATAAATATATTTTATTTTCAGAAATTCCATCTTATACAATCATACATTCTGACAAGAAATTACTTGAAGAAGCACAAATGAGAAAATATGATCAAATATTTGACGAAATCAATCTTACCTGTAATGACAAAGTATTAGAAATTGGCTGTGGTTGGGGAGCTTGTGCTATACGTGCTGTCAAATGTCACAAATGCAAGTGGACAGGCTTGACAATTTCGATAGAACAATTTAAAATTGCTCAGCAAAGGATAATTGATAATGAATTAGTGGATAAAATTAATATCAAATTATTGGATTATCGGTTAATTAATTTTTTAGCTTAAAAAAATTAATTAAATTAGCAGTTTATACTCTTATGATATGGTATATTTAGGATAAATTTTGTACATATTAAATGCAAATAAAAAAATAGCCTAATTAATTAATTAAATTATTTGACAAAAATTAATTCAGATATTTGCCGAGTTAAATAATAAATAAATGAAATTAATACTTTTCAAATAAAATTTTTATGTTATTTGATTGACTTACAAGGGAACAAAAAAAGTTAAATGTTTTAGATTATTACAAAAAAAGAAAATTTTCATCCGTTCTAAATTTTATTATTTGTTTTTTAATTGAGGAATTATTAATTAAAATGCGAACATTAATAATTGATTAAATAGATGAATAGACAGGCAATTAATTCATTAATTGAAACCACCAATCTGTCCAAATTAGCATATTTAAAACTTTAACAATTTTTATCAAAAATTCGATTATTCATCTTTTCTTTTCTTTTTTTGCTTTTTAGATTAGAAAATGATATTTACGATAAAATTATTGCAATTGAAATGATTGAAGCAGTTGGACATCAATATTTACCGCAATTTTTTAAAACGTTACGTGATCGATTACGTCCTGGTGGTAAGGCATACTTGCAGGTATATATGCATGTGTTTAACTTAAAAAAAAAAACAGACAAAAATAAAAAGTAAAAAAATTAATTTAAACATAGTTTTTTTAATTAATAAAAAGTATCATTGTTTTTGTTCAAGGCAATAACATGTCCTGAATTGAACTACGAGCGCTATTGTCGATCAAGTGATTTCATCAAGAAATATATATTTCCCGGTGGACATTTGCCATCTGAGCGAGCAATTCGAGATGCATTACCGCCAGAATTATCAATTACAAAAACAATTCATATTGGACAACATTATGCGCCAACTTTAGATTTATGGTATTGGTAAGTTACAATTTCATCGTCTAATACACTTATCAAAAATGAAATTAAATTTTTTTTTGAGTTTTAAAAAAATGAATTTAAAAATTTTTCATATTCAAAAAATTACCAGATTAAAATAAAATATGGTTGGATGGATAGTATTGAAATTAATTAGTATATTTTATAGCTTGAAAAATTGAAAAGCAAAAAAATGAAAACAATCAACGTTTTCCTTGTAAAGTAAATTTTAATATTTTAATTAATCATTTCAATTAGTGAAATGTTTGTAAGTATTTCAGTTAACAACAATATAATTATTGAACTGTTTGAAATTTCAGAAACATAATTACTCCTAAAATTTAGTGAATAAAATTTTAGTGCATGGATGGAAAATTTGGAAAACATTCGTAAACTTGGATATTCGAGGAAATTTCATCGTAAATGGCAATTTTATTTTGCTCTGTGCTCGACGCTATTTCGATATTCACACATTGATACAATACAAATACTTGTCGAAAAATCATTGTAATTTATTTATTTTAGTTAATTAATTTCATTTTAATTAATTGAAATTCAAATTTCTTATAAAATTGAATGATTTTATGTAATTCAAAGCGATTAAAAATCCAATAATAATTTTCTTTTTCATGTCATTTAATCATTTATTATATGTGTAATTCAGTTTTTCAATTCAATTTTTCAACATTAACAAAATTAAAAAGTTTTTACTAATATCTATTTTCAACTAATGTTTGGGATAAAATTTGACGTGGAAGTTTTGAATTAAATTAAATTTCATTTTTTAAGTTCTTATAAACTTAAAGAAAAATAAAAATTTGAATGTTAGTATGCATATTTCTATTGCATTCAACTACAAATCGATTTTTTTAAAAACATTTTACGTCGTATAATAGATCAAACATTCATTGATAAAATATTTATTGATAAAAAGTATTTATTGATAAAAAATTATCTATGATTAGATAGCAAAGTTTACATTGAATATTTATTTTTTATGTCAAAAATTTTTAGTACAATGTATATATTTCAAAAATTAACAATGAAAATGAAAAAATGAAAAGGAAAAATTATCATAAAATCTTGAAGATTGTTCAAATCTATTAGAAAGCTAAATTATAGTAACATTAACTTGTAAAAACTGCTTTAAATTTTTGAAATTTATTGCATTATTATTTTTGTTTAGAAATTTGTAAATTATTATCATTTATTAGTATAAATCGTATATTATTTCTTATTTCCTTGCGATAAACTTTTCGTTTTTACATTTTTATAATTTTATCTAATTTTTAAACTTTTTATATTATCTTCTCTTTACGATCTGTCAATTTTTTTTTACAAGAAATAAGCAAAAATTATGTGATACTAATAGCTTTAAAAATAAAAAAAATTATTAATTGATTTAAACATTTGGATAATTTCAATTTTCAATATTTGATAAAATTTTACTTTTTCATTCTCTTTGAAATTTAATAATGTATCAAAAAGAAGAAAATAAAAAATAATATTCATTTTAATTTTAGCACCCGTAGCAGTGAAATAAATATATTTAATGATAAGTTAATTTAATACATTTTATTATTTTTAATTTTAGATTGAATTTTTGAAATAAAATGAAAAATTTACAGTTAACTGAAAATTTATTTTTATTACTAAATTAGTAATGCTTGATCACTTGTAGTTAGAATAAATGAAATTTTAAAAAAGTGAAAAAAAGAAAATCTAATATCGAATCTTATTTCCATAATTCAATTACTATGCTAAACTGATAAAATTATAATCTTTTCTCTTTTTTGTTGGCAAAAAAATGAATTTTAAAAGATGAAAAAATAAGTAATAATAGGTAAAAAATACATTTATTGATTAATTCATTTAATTAACTTTTATTTTCTTTTACAAACGTAGTAATTTATTATTTCGAACTATAATTAAATTCAAAATTTAAAATTTTTAATAAAAGTAAGAGGAAATAACCCATTAATTAATAACAGTGATGCAATAAGTGAAATGTAAGAGATCATCCATTCTTTTTATTAGCATATTTATGCAAAATAAACACAATTATACGGTACTCTTTGTAATCATTGCTGATACGCCCAATGTCTTAGCTAATTCTTCCTGAAATGTTTTCTTTTTTTTTTTTAAATTTGTTTTTAAATTTAAAAGAAAATAAAAAAAAAGAAAAGAGTGATAAGATAATTTTTGATACCGCATAATTAATTTGATTTGGGTGGTACGGTATGCCACCGTACTTCTCCACCAATGCTATATGCTCGTTTTCTGGATCACCAGCTACTAATACTTGTTTATTATCAACCTGTAAACAAAAAAAAAAAATTTTTTTTTCTTTTATAGTAGTAAATATAAAATTAAAATGAAATTTTTTTCCTGCTAATTAGAAGTATTAGTATTATTATTATTGGAGAAATGAAAATCACTTTATTTAAAGTAAACTTTTTATTGTTAAAAAAGAAAACTAGTAAGGAAAATAATAATTGAAAGGATTACACAAAAGGTTTTTTTTTAAAAAAACAAAAAAAAAAAAAAGAAAATAAAAATTTAAATAAAATAAAGAGTAGAATAATTTTCATATTTTATAGAATAATTTCGAAAATTTATTATTTGCTTTTTTGTTTTTTTGTCCTTTTTTCGACGGATAAAATTGATTATAAGTTTTTTTTTTCCCAAAAAATCAAATTATTAATGGGAGGATAAAGTAGCGAAAAAATAAATAAATAAATTTTGAGTAATATTATTTAAAAATAAACCGATTTTAATCCTCGCATTGCATCAATAAATTCTTGTAAACGATTTTCAAAATTTGGTGCAAATTCATTTGGATTAATTGCAATAAAACATTGTCCCTAAAAAAAAAAAGTAAAATATTGTTAATTAGTTGTTAAAAATTATTTTGCAATTTCTTAAAATTAAATTTCACACAACAAATTTTATTATTAAAAAGAAATGAAAAGAAAGAACGAAAACTTTTAAAATAATTTTATTCATTTGAAAAGTTTTTTTTCCTTACTAAATTAGCAACAGCAGCTGTTGACATCCATTGTCTCACATGTGGTCCCCATTGCGCACCGCCAAGTACGCCACAAATAATTTCCACTAATGCACCAAGGCAATATCCTTTATAGCCACCTGCAATTTAATTCCTTCTTTAAAAAAAAAAAAAAAGCTCAAAGCATATAAAAAATTCATTAATTATTTTAATTAATAATCTAAAAATAAAAGAAAGAATTCTTCTGCATTATTCTGTTGCAAATTATTGATCAATGCTTATTAATTTTAATTTATAGTAGTAATCATAATTATATAATAAGCTATTAATTAAAAAACAGAAAAAAGAAAAGAATCAATTCTTTGCATTATGCAGAATAAAATTATATAAAATAATTTTACCAAATTATACCAAATAAATTAAAATAATTACAATAAATAAATAATTGATTAAAAAATTCCACCCAGTCATACATAAACAATTTACCGGTTAATTCACTTCCGCCAAGAGGTAAAAGACCGCCACCATCCAGTATTTTTGCCGGATCATTGCTAACATAACCGTCTTTTCCCACACCCCATGTATCCGGAACAGTTTGCTCTTTACGTGCTGCTATTTCAACCTAAAAAACTTACTAAACAAAAAAAAAGTAACGAATTATTTGGAAAATTTTTTTTTTTAAAATTATATTTAATAACATATGTTGCTGTGAAAAAATTTTCATTTTTTTCCAAAAGTTTTTTTACGCTTTATCAAAGATATAACATTATAATAAATATGATAGTGGTGATAATCAGTGATATGACAACTGATAATAATAACGAACCTTTCCAATAGCAGCAGTTGTAGTGGCCATATCCAATATGAATGTGTCATTTTTAGCCTTAGCAGCAAGTGTCAAAGGATTTGTCCCAAGTGCTGCGACACTTGACCTAGTTGGATACATAATTGGCGATGTATTTGTAAATGCCATCCCCTTCAAATATATTTGAAATAAAAAGAAAAAGTAAATATTTAAATTTTAATTTTTAATAGAATAATTTAAATTTGTATCAATTATTTTGTCATTTTTTTCTTCTAAAAAAATTATATATTTTTTTAAAAGAAAAAATAGAATGAATTGAGTAAAATAAAATTAATTTTTGTGTTCTATAAAATTATTTTCTTGCTTTTAACTTTTTTTTTTTGTTATATAATAGTTTAAAGTTACACTCAAAAGGAGAAAAAATAGGAAAAAAAAGTAATAACTAAAAGTCCTTCATTCATTGCACGAATACTATACCAACCAGCAATTCCAAAATGATTTGATCCTATAATATTTAATCATAAATGATAAAAATATTCAAATCAATTAAACTTATTATAGATTAATTTATAATTAAGTGAGCTTAGTAAAATATTCGAAAAGTCAAAAATAATTTTTTTTTTAAATTTCTCAATTTGATATTATAACGTTCATTATAATATCATCTCTTCTAAATTTAAATAATTTTAGTTCTCATTTTAAGAAAATTTTACTCCCCATTGGTCACTTATGTAGCAAATGATAATGCATTATTTAAATTTAGAAGAAATGAAAGTTTTTGAATAATAAATCAAAAAAAAAACGTGAACTTATGTCAAAATTAGTAATTGCAATTAAAATTCGAGTATTTCAGTTTGAACTAAAATTTTGCTATCAGTTTCAAATGACATTCAATTTGAAAAATTAAAGAAAAATTGAACCAGATGAACATAATTTAAGAATGAATCATTGTAGATTTTGCTACAAATATAAAAGAAATACTTACTTTAATTTCATATTTCATTAAATATTGAGCTAAATCAAATCTTCAATTATTGCACTAATTCACCTTTAGCCACAACCCAGCCAACACCTGCTTCCTTGGCTTTTTTAATTGCTATATCCATGCAAAAATTGCCAACCACTGGGCCAAGTAAATTATTTCCATCAATCCATGCACTTGCGGCATTCTCTTTGAGAATTTTCGGCACACCATCTTTCATGCATATACCTTCCTGCATATCGCGAACATACATACCTAAATGTATTTTCTTTTTTTTTGAATCAAGCGACATATGGTGACAGATACCTACCTGTCACCTTAGTTCAGCTTTTCTCATAAAATTTTTCACAATTTATTTTTACATTGCCCTATTTCAAAGTCTTAAAAATGATCATTTGAATTCTCCATCCATTAAAAAATTAGAAAATAAAACTATGATTAAAAGTATGTGTCACCGTTATATTGTATTTCAAAAAAAAAAAAAAAAAAAAAAACCTCGAATATAAAACAATATGAAATGAACTAAAAATTTAAATTAAAAAAAATTGATATAGATTTTGCTATATATTCAAGTAATATTAACTTTTATTTTTAAAAAAAAGCGAATTAAAAAAAATTTCATAAATTTATTGAACGAACTGAATAAATTTTAATAGAATTTATTATTTTATTTGATTTACTTTAAAATTCGATAATATATGGAAGAAATTATCAATTAAAAGAAACCTAATCGATTTAATCCATGACTGTAATGTCCTCTTATATCAGCTGCTACCAGTACATCAGCTAATTGTTTAGCATGACTTTCTGATGTACCTGTTTTTATCATACATTGTATCATATACCTTGTCACCTGAACTGATATAATTAAGATTATAATTTTAATTGTATAAAAATTTTATCTAATTTAATAGTGATTAGATTTTATCAAAAATTTCTTCCAGTAATTTTGTTATTTTTCTCATATTTTTTGGTTTTTTTTCTGTTTTTTTTTAATCTTTAACTTGAATCAGAATTCTTGGATAATAAAAGTTTTTTTTTTTTCATTTGCTTTTAATTTAAATCAAATTATTGTTACGTAGTAAAGTTATAATGCAAATTGTTAAATATCAAAAACTTTTTAAATTATTATTTAAAAAATAAAATCTACTTCTTGAATTGCTATAATTTTATCATCTGCATTAACTGTTGTCGTTACATTTCGATTCAGATTTGACGTAGAATTGAAAATCTTTGATCGCTTTATGTTTACAATAACGTAGCATCGATGAAGACAAATACCATTTGAGTGACAGGAAAGTGACAGGAATGTTGGTGTCACTTTTAATCGAATTCCACCACCAGAATAATGAACAAATAATCGATTTGCTATTCGATTGAAAAACATTACCCAAATATTTATTGGTATTCAGGAGTTGTTATCTTCTATAATAAACAAAATTTTGAAATTGACAAGATCAAACAAAAAAAAAAAGAATAGTTTAAAAAATAGTTATATTTTACAATCAGAAAGGTTAAAGTTTACTTATATTAATAATTTGTCAATGACATTCATTTGTGTATAAGTGATTAAATTTTTTAAAATGATAAATGAAATGTGATGAACGATAATCATAAATAGTAGAAAATTATTCAGTAAACAATGATTAATTAAAAAAAAAATAAAATAATTGTCGACAAATTGGTGATAACAAATTGTATTTAATGTTCAATTTACGTTTCAATATGCATTTAATATTTTTTTAAATATACAATTTATTATTATGTAAACTAATTCATATGTAATTTATTGTTGTACATAAAAAAAAGGATCAAACGTATAAATATTGTATAATATATAATATTTTAATAATTAATTAATTCACCATTATTTTATTAGTTAATAATACTATTTATTATTATTGCTTAATAAATTGGAAATGTTTCGAAAATCATCTTAAATTTAGAAAATTTATATGAAAAGAATGAATTGCTTAAATTATCAATTAAAATAAACTAAAAGATGAATCGATTGCATTAATTTTTAAACATATGATAAAAAATGATAAAGCAAAAAAGAAAGAGAAAAAGAAGCGAGTAGTAAGTTAAAAATGTGAAGCAATGAGTAAATTATTATTGTTATTTGATCATAACACATCTTTCATCAATTTTAACTCCTTGTCACTTCTAATATTATTGCAAATTAAAAATCAAAAAAAACAAAAAAAAAGGAGTGAATATTTACAATACATTGCAAAATAGAGACAGTTGTCATTGATGGTAAAATATTTTTACAAATCGTAAAATTTTGAAGGTAAACAAATTCCGTAGGAAGTAGGCAAAAAAAAAAAAAAAACGAAAGAAAGAAAAAGAAAAAACAAATTTAAAAAAAAAAAGAATAAATAAGTATTTAATTCATTTGGCATATGATTAAAAAAAAAATCAATTGCATTATTATCAGCTATTGATTGACTTGTTATCAAAATAATCATAAAATTTAATCTGACATAAAATGATCATGATTGAATGTTTTTGATGAGTATAATTTTATGAAACAGCTGACGATATGTACAACTGATAACATATCTTATCATTTAACTTAGACTGATTGATTTAAAAAAAAATGAAAATAAAAAACAAAAACGAGGAAAAAGTCTTTGTCTTTTTATTTTATTAATTAATAAATGGTACTAAATGCAAGCAAATTATGATACTAGATGTTGCAGTGATAATAATTTTTTGAAGTGATAAAAACTTTAGCGATAATGTGATAAAATTAAAATGCAAAAAAAAAAAAACAGTAAGATAATATAATTGTAATGCATAATTTGTTAAATGTAAACAATAAACAGAAAAACAAAAATAACATTTTTAGTTAATATCTGCTAAATTTATCCCTTTTTTTCTTTAATACAAAAATTTTAAATTTAAAAAAGAGAAACGAATGATATCAATGCCAAATTCTAGTTAATGGTTAGTATTATTTGACTATCGTTTGGATTTAATTTTAACGATGAAAGATCAAAAATCAAACGATATACTACTGAGAGCGAATGCTCCTAGAAATGACAATGATAAATTCATTTTTTTTTTTTTTTTTGAAATTCTGACTATAACCCTTGCAAATTGCAAATAAGCTAACTGCAGCCAAAAGATATAAAAATTAAGAATGAATGCTGCTAATACTATACTTTTTGGTGTGTGTCATCTGTCACAGATAATCTAGCATATCAGTGAAGAATAGCTTTTAATTAATGTGACATTTGTGATCACAAAAATATCAGTGTAATAAATTAAACTTAACACAATTTATTAGTTCGAAACACTTTGTTTTGTAAGCTTATTTTAATGACAGCATTAATTAAATGACCACCTAAAATGGACAATTGTCAACTTTCTGCTATGATAAGGTCAGTTTTAATTTTTGATCATTTCTGTTTGTATTCGCACTTTTATGTAATTATGTGAAAATTTTTGCATAAATGAAAAAATTGACGGATAATTGACGATGACCAATTCAATAGTGATTGAAGTGGCATTGAAGTGGTAATACTGAATTTATATTTTTTGGTTTTTTTGGTTTTTTTGATTTTTCATTTTTGATCATACTGATAACATCAGTTAACTATAAATTAGAAAAAGCATTTATTAGCATATTTTGAGTATTTCTTTCTGAATTTTCTTCTATTTAGACCTTCTTCTCATGATCTTAATTGATTTGTATTGAATAGATGATACCAAGGAATGGCTTAGGTACTTATGCGGGATGCGTTCCACTGGTATGTTGAGGGTGGTGAGTACGGTGCTATTTTTCTTGTAGGAACCTTTGGAACCAAAATAAACTACCAAACAGTTTCTTGTTTGATCATTCATTTTGAAAAGTACTTCATCTGCAATTAGCCGTAATGCTATTCAATTGCAGAGGAGTTTATTTCTGTTGGATATGAATATCTAATCGATGAATAGATTGAAGCAATTATTCTAAATTATAAATGTTTATCGCCATTTTTGTTTTTTGTCAAATTTAGTGAGAACAAATGAAGTGAAATAGTGAAAAAAAACCATAAAAGTTTATATATTATATGCCACATTTTTATCAGTGACAGTTTTTGCATTCTATGATAAAACTTTACTTATATTTCTTATCGTTTCATTCATTTCCTTTTTATAAAATAGTACAAAATAATTTACGATGAGCCATTAATCACACACTTAAAAAATGATAAATTGGAAAATAAAAAAGTCTTTTAGATTTGCATATGTGTAATATTCGAAATATTAATCAGCTAACAGAATTGATTATTGCTGCAACTATTATAGTCCATTATAATATAGTTTATTCGTTCTTCCTTTTCTTTATTAAAATAATATTACATTAAAGATTTTAATAGAAATCTGTGACACAATGTAATGTGATGTGACATATTTGATTGTCGCACATATTTCCAATACTTAATAAAATAGCAGTAAAACCAAAGTTAAATGTTATTTGTTAGAAAGAATTAAATTTGAAAAGTGTAAGAAATGGATGGAAAGTTGGTAGTATCAAAGACTGATTCAGTCCTATGCGCATTGCCAACCTGCTTCAGGTGCGCAGTACGAATACTCCAATTTACCACCGTTCGTTCTTTCGATGACGCACGAATGCAACTTATCTTCGCAGAAGCAGCCTCTGTCACTGAAATATGACTTATCAGTGCTATTAAGAAGTGGGAACACTGCGTTGACAGTTGTGAGGAACACTGGGAGGGAGAAGTGGGGACACAGCGTTGACAGTTGTGAGGAACACTGGGAGGGAGAAGTGGGGACACAGCGTTGACAGTTGTGAGGAACACTGGGAGGGAGAAGTGGGGACACAGCGTTGACAGTTGTGAGGAACACTGGGAGGGAGAAGTGGGGACACAGCGTTGACAGTTGTGAGGAACACTGGGAGGGAGAAGTGGGGACACAGCGTTGACAGTTGTGAGGAACACTGGGAGGGAGAAGTGGGGACACAGCGTTGACAGTTGTGAGGAACACTGGGAGGGAGAAGTGGGGACACAGCGTTGACAGTTGTGAGGAACACTGGGAGGGAGAAGTGGGGACACAGCGTTGACAGTTGTGAGGAACACTGGGAGGGAGAAGTGGGGACACAGCGTTGACACTTGTGAGGAACAGTAATTTCCGCAAGAAATGATTGAAGTGGCTTACGTCCATGCCTGATTCTCGCTCAGTCTGCACCACGCTTGTGGTTCACGTTGATCGTAGCAAGCTTCGTGCGAAGAGCACTCTTTCTTTCTGCAAGCAATCGAATGGTAAAGTGAGGTGAGCTCTTTATTTGCATTATTTCCAAACTTTTTTCCTAAGTAAGTGATATGTGACACTTTCATAAGTAAGGTAATGTGTGACATCGATATGCGACATTTTGGAGTCAATTTAAGAAATAACTATTTCAGAGCGAAATGAAAGATTGCAGCGATACAAATAACACATTTTTAATAAAAGGACCCATAAAAAGTGAGATGGAAAGGGAACCGATTCCTCAGAAATATTTTGAAGGATTCAAATTATTGAAAGTACCAAACGACTTACTTGCCATCAGTTTCAACAAATTCCCCTTTGGTTACATATTCATCACCTCCTTCACTACCACCTCCGTCCTCGCTGTCGTCGGTGTCCTAAAAAAAAATATTTTCTTTTTGATGGATTTGAAAAGAAATGGTGGCAATTCAAGTCCTGCATTATGTCTCATTTCAGTCAGCTCATAAGTCATTTTCTCGAAAGAGCTCCACGTTACCACCTGCTTATCAGTTTGTCTCACGTACTATTCCGTGACCTGGCTAGGTCTGTACTACTACTCTCGATTTAGTGATTTGGTTAACATAATGGTTTCTTATTTCTTTCATAAATTTGCAAAAGTTACATCGAACTCTTCGTCTGATTCTGATGCACACGGAAGTGTCACAAAAAGAATTACCAAACCGAATGCTATTAAAAGTTTATTCATTTTCTCTTCCTGCAAAAACAACCAAATATTAATCGCATTTGCATAAATTGCGCTAAAGTAAGTTATTGCAAGCCAAAATAAAATATCGCTTCTACTTCCATCGCTCCAACTATTCATTAATTAATTCCAAGCACTGTTCCTTATGAATTTTTCCTTTTAAAACAGTCCATACTCCAAAGATCACATTTTTTAGAAGTAAAACTCACATTGAAGTAACTCAATCACGAATTAATAGTAATCTTTAATTACTCATAAAAAGAACCTACTAATATGTCAGTCTTATTCGAAGCGATGATAAAGAAATGATAAGATGAAATGATCAGAAAATTGATTCCTCTTATATATTCGAATAATAAGTGTACCTTTCGGCAGATGTGCTCTTTTTTTTGTTTTTAAGAAAATTATTCTATTATTCTAAATTCCATTTGTGGAAGTGCATCAAAACACATTGACCTTTATGATGACATTTAGCTTCTTGCCAAGTTGACTTCTACAGCTGAGTCATTCATTCCATTTCATTCGGTTACGGAAAGTTAACACAGCTGTGCTTCAACGAAAAAGGATATCAGATCATTTTTACAAATGCTTTTTCTTTATTTTTTTTTTTTTGCTTCGAAATTTTATTTCATAAAAATTACTAAGTTTCTCATTTGGAATGCAAAGGTGTTATAAGTTGTTTATTCATATTACAAAATCGATTCGTCAGGGTTTTGTCTTTCGTTTAATAGCTCAAACACTTTTTCAGGTTCTAACCTAAAATATTATTAATCATCAAAATGAGCCAATTTTTACAAAAGTTTTCAAAAATGAGTTATCTATTTGCTTTCATTCATTGAATGATTTAAGAGTTTTTATTATTTACTTCAAAATATTTTCGTAAATGATAGCAGTTTTGCGTTGCAGTCTGAATGATATTCAAAGTTAAAATCACAGTATTTGCAGTCAAGAAAAATATATGCGGTTGCTTAAAATTTTTTAAAAAAGTGTATTTATCATCAAGTACTGTTACACGATATTAACAATCAAACTCCAAGTGACTGAATGAAATATTAAAAATAAATTCTTCTAAAATAAGTTCACAATGATACTTCATTAGTATTTCCATATGTGCCCGTACCTGAATCAAATAGTGCCAAATTGAAGTCGTCGAGAATATTATAGTTTTGGCTAGAAACATTTTCTTTTTCTACGCTTGACGAACTATATCTTGACTGCAAGTCTTCTTCCGTTGAGTCTGGAATAAACATGTGTCACTTCACTACGACAAAAAAAAATTTATAAAACATTTGCCTGAATCAAATAGTGCCAAATTGAAATCGTCGAGAATATAATAGCTTTGGCTAGGAGCATTTTCTTTTTCGGTGTTTGACGAACTATGTTTTAACTGTAAGTGTTCTTCCGTTGAGCCTGGAATAAACATTTTTTAGATGTCACTTCACTACGACAAAAAAAAAATTTATAAAACATTTGCCTGAATCAAATAGTGCCAAATTGAAATCGTCGAGAATATTATAGCTTTGGTTAGAAACATTTTCTTTTTCTGCTTTTGACTGTTTCAACTGTAAGTGTTCTTCCGTTGAGCCTGGAATAAACATTTTTTAGATGTCACTTCACTATGACAAGAGAAATAACAATTTTATAAAACATTTACCTGAATCAAATAGTGCCAAATTGAAATCGTCGAGAATATAATAGCTTTGGCTAGGAGCATTTTCTTTTTCGGTGTTTGACGAACTATGTTTTAACTGTAAGTCTTCTTCCGTTGAGCCTGGAATAAACATTTTTTAGATGTCACTTCACTATGACAAGAGAAATAACAATTTTATAAAACATTTACCTGAATCAAATAGTGCCAAATTGAAATCGTCGAGAATATAATAGCTTTGGTTAGGAGCATTTTCTTTTTCGGTGTTTGACGAACTATGTTTTAACTGCAAGTGTTCTTCCGTTGAGCCTGGAATAAACATTTTTTAGATGTTACTTCACTATGACAAGAGAAATAACAATTTTATAAAACATTTACCTGAATCAAATAGTGCCAAATTGAAATCGTCGAGAATATAATAGCTTTGGCTAGGAGCATTTTCTTTTTCGGTGTTTGACGAACTATGTTTTAACTGCAAGTGTTTTTCCGTTGAGCCTGGAATAAACATTTTTTAGATGTTACTTCACTATGACAAGAGAAATAACAATTTTATAAAACATTTACCTGAATCGAACAATGCCAAATTGAAATCGTCGAGAATATTATAGCTTTGACTAGATACATCTTCTTCTTGTGTGTTTACTAAAGCATGTCCGAACTGCAAATTTTCCATTCGACCTAAAATGAACATTTTTAGATAATTGGTTGTGCATCCTAACGACATTTATGACCACTCCACGACCGTAAATTCCATAAACATATTTTCATGTACGCTGCATCTTACGTTGACAAACTTGTTGGAAATCTTTTGGTGTTAAATAAATTTGCGAAACTAACGGCGTGTTTTGTGATTATCCATGTGACGTTTTAGTAAGTTCTTAAACTGCATCGAAGTAGTTGCACTTAAACTTTTCAGGTTGATGTTGCTGGTAGTATCTGCAAAGGTGTGACAAATAAAAACACTTTAGAAACCATTTTTCTTATGTGTTTTGAGGTGTTGTGGAAATTTATGCTCTATTATGCTTGCAAAACACCCAGGAATGGGACATTCAAACAATGGAATTACCTGAAAAATTCCTAATATGACATTTGTTTCACTACAGTTTAACTTCTCAAATATGTTTTCTGCATGTATTTCACGTATTAAAAAATCAAAGGAAATACAGCATTCGTTTCTCTGTTAGTTTTACTCAACTGAGGAAAATTTTTTAAATTATTTGGACTATGAATTGGTAGCTGTTATGAACTAATTGCTCTAGACGCAAAACAAACGATAGTTTTTACTTCGATTAAAAAATATTGCAATATCATAGAGTTTTCTATTACTACTCCACCGTCATAAATGTCTAGGAGCACGTTTTTACGTTTACGTGTGTTCTATTCCACGTAAATGAATTTGTTGAAATTAAATATAAATTAGCAAAACTAACTGCATCCTTTGCTGCAATGATCGGTATGACGTTTTAGCAAAGACCTGTAAAAGAATGAAGCACCGCATTTTTTGCATGCAAATTTAGATTGATGTTTTTGATAATGCTGACGAAGTGCTGATAAACATCGATATTCACTTTTACATCTAGGCCAGTTACATCGATAAAGGCCTGGTTGATTGTGCTTGCTGATGTGTCTCAAATATTTCTTTCGGTCCCAAGTGCTTGCATCACAGCCCGGAAAACCGCATTCATACTTCTTCTGATCTGATATGAGCTTTCTGTTTACACTCAACTATCACACAATTTGTTAATTAAATGATGTCACTTGAAAGTGACGATGATAATATCAGTGCTGCAAAAGCATATTTTAAAATTTAAAATTCATTTCCAATTAATATGGTGTAGAAAACCCTTTCGATTTATTTTAGATTTATATTTGAAAAGTAGTTTTAATGCTACCTTTTATAGAAGGGGCTTTCACAGTAGATGATTGCATTGGCTTTTTATAACCAAATAATAACCATTCGAAGTCATCTGGAATATCATCCTCTTCCAATTCCTGATTACCTGATTCATTCTGTTGATCTCGTGAATTTTGGCCCGATGAATCATCTGAAAAATGAAATTTGGTAGAAATCAACAAAAATAACTTCCTGCTATGGGTTACCAGCACCGGTTGCTAAGAGCAAAGAAAGAGAACGCACCACTCTGAGCCGAAACACAAAAGATGCAAAGCAGAAGACTGAACCAAACAATTTGTGCCATCGATCTAGCCGAGAGCTTTGTGAATATTCAAAAATGGTAGAAATGCTCAGATGAAAGTTTTTTATTTCAGATTGGTTGGAATTATAAGACCAAAGATTTAAACAATTTTTAACTTTGTTCGATTAGTATTATTTCAGATAATTTTTATTGCAACTTTAAAAATACAATTTAAAATTAAAAACGGTGTACGATAATACTGAGATTAGCATAAATTTAAAACTGGCAAGTTGCATTTATTGTCAGTGATTAATCTGTACTACAATGAATTAAACCTATTTCTCTTTTGTGAGCATTCTTTCCATTTTTGGGAATTTTTCGTTTTTGTTCGATGACTTTAGTTAAGTATTAATTACAAACATATTGGCTTATTTTAGACTTTTGTCTTTAAATGTTGCTAGCATTTTAATTGTATTTTATTTATTCATTTTCAAATTCTGATTATTTGCTTTCTTTTCTTCTGTTCTTCAAATTAATTTCTTTCATATAATAATTAAATTGGTGCTATTTTATGTTTATACTTCTTCATAATTAACACCTTTAGTACTCAAAAAAGTATTTGCATGTGCATATCAAATTATATATATTTTTTTCATTTTATAATATCTAACCCAATGACTGTGTTCATTGTAAAATCATTTTTTTCAGGACAATGTGACAATCAATTACTGCAATAAATATTGATGATGACTTTATTTCCGTGCCTGAAATGATTATCAACGAATTTTAAAAGGTTATTTCGGAGTGATCAAAACTGAGCAATTTATAAACAAAACGTTGCAAGAAGAAATTTTTGAATAATTATCGCACATGCGGGTGCTGTCATGATTTGATAATTTAATTATTATTTTGATTGCAGGTAGATTCGTTGGGTGTAGATGTAAATATGTGAGGTAACAGAGGAATATAATAATCCTTTATTGGCAGAAACAATAGTACAATAATTGGTAAAGAAGAATTGAAATTGAACTCTCCTGGTTCTTGGTAAGAAAGCACACAATGCCCCACTCAACAAGGGTGACCTCCTTATATAGCGAGCAATATGCATAAACAAAGTATGTGATTTACAATAAGAGGTTGACCTGCCGAAAGAGTAACAAAGAGCTATTGACCTAGGTTACAATCAAATTTATTTACTAGTTGAAAAACCGCAAAGGACATCAGTTAAGCAAAAGTTTTTAACCTCATAGATTCAAGGGTAATTTATAATTAGTGGTGACACAACAATGAGGTCAACAAATGAGGAGCTTATATAGTGTAAACAATATACGAAAGGTTTACTGACTTACTATACTGGAAACAAAAAGCCCAAAGTGTAAACATTATTTACAAAGATCTCATGCAACATATTTTTTACTCATATTCTCAACTTCCACATAATATTTTAGAGTTTCGAGATATTAAAATCAGCGACAGATGTAGCTTTACAGATTTCAGGTCTTCGAGTTTCTGGTTTAAAAAGTAAACAGGAAAGATAAATGAGGTGTTTTTTTAGGATGACGAACAGTCAGATCATAATACAATGCTCATTACATGGATCACAAATGCAAGTGCATTCTCGAGAAAGATGATCAAGTCTTGACTGTAGGACGAAATAAGCACTCAGCGAAGAAATACCAGTGTGTGAAGACATGAGTTCAAAAATAAGCCAATTTTGATACTAGTTTTGACGCCAAGCTGTGATGATAGGCAATTGTGCTTAAAGTTGAATTGCTAAATCTGAATTTATAATATCATTAATAAATCATTCTTGGAAATTTATCACTTTGAAATTACTACCGATAAAAACTGTAAAGTTGATAATTTACTGCAGTGAAATATTTCATCAATTTAAATAGCTATTAAATAAATAATTATAATTCATAAAAGCTTCCTTTAAATAAAAACGTTTAAATAAAAACTTCCATAACTAAAAACTTACTTTCCCTCATTTCCATTACCTTAAATATTTAAATCTTAAAATATAAAATATTTAAAATCCACTAAAACAGCCGTAAAATATTCCCTTAGCTAGAACATTTTTTTTTTTGCTTTTATTTTTTTAAATAAATAAATTACTGGTGCGATGAAAAAATCGGAAAAAAAGCAAAGCAATGAATTTAATAAGTTTTATATTTTATATGAATCATTTATCAAAACTGATTGCCATTTCTTGAAAATTTTTCATTTTCATATTTTTAATTAAATCAAAGACATATAAATATCTTTGATTTATTTAATTTAAAGTGTATATAAGCAAACCATAACCAATGCTGAATGTTCCTCTAGTCGTAGATATATAAATTTGACATATGACTCAGAGAAACATCCAGAATGGTACTTGGTTTTACGATCAATCATAGAGAGAGACAATCAAAGTTGACCAGTATGGATATCCTAATAAAAAGAGTGGAAATTTTCTTTTACATGTTTAAAACTTTTAATAATTCTTTCCTTTTTAAAAATATTTTTCTTAGGAATTTGAAGAATTCCTGGAAAAGCGCTCAAAAAATATTTTATGAAAAAAAAAAAAGTGAAGGCATATTTTGATAATTCTATACGAATCATTTAAATTAAAAAAAAAAAATCTCTTAACAATTTTCGTTTCTTGTAAAATTTTATAATTAAACTTTATGTTGAAAAAGTTTAGCTAGATAGTTTTTTATTAATTCGAGAAAATTACCTGTGAGTAAGTATCTTATGCAAATCTCTCGCAGACAGCAAAACATTCCGTATTGTTTGACGATTAATAAGCATATCGGAATTGAAAGGAATCAAAATAGAAGATAGGAATTTTTATTTAGATTAAAAAAACAAAAAAAAAAAAAACCAAATATAATGTCAAATAATTTTTCAAACATTCTAAATTATAAATTATAACTTACCATAATATCGGTGTTGTCGTTTATATATCCTTAGGAATATTTTGTAATAATAAATATCTTAATTAAATCGTTCAACAATGATAAAAGATATTCAGCATTATTTGACAATGAATGATTAACATAGAAAAGATATTATTAATTAGGCAAAATTTTCCGAATAAAAAATATCTGTAATTAATACTATTACAATTATTATCATTACCTTCTGATAAAAGTATGTTTGCTACCGTTACTTCCCTCTGACATAAACAAATTGGTCATCGATCCACCTGCCATCATTCGGTACGATACAAGAAAAAGGTCAGTAACCATTGCGTATTCTAAATAATCCATCATTTTCTTCTTACCTTTCTTCTCTTTCTTCTTGCTATTCCATTCTCTCTTTATTCTTTCATTTTCCTAAACATCTGCACAATTAATGACATTGTTTCATCAATTCTCCCTCACCTTTTGACCTTTAACTACCTAAAATTAAATATTCATAATTTGATTTGTTCCTTTCATCGCTATCTCAAAGAAATACTATGTGCATTCATTTATAAAATACGATGACGCGTATGACGGATTCTATAATATATTACTTTTACCTGGCGCAAATTTTCTGTTGAATGGATTGTTGATGGTTATCAGATCGTAAAATGCAGATTGATTGCTTTGACTAGATTAATAATGTTAACACTTCTGATGAAATTATAAATGATTCGATAATCGAAAAAAAAAAAAGGAAAAAGTATATTTACATTATTCGAAATAAAACATCAATGCTGGACATATTTTAGAGAAATAAGTTAAAAGCAAATATTGGAGGAAGAAATATTAGAAGATAAGTCGATATGAATAATATAATTAAATGATAAAACAGTTCTTGTAAAATGTCTAATATTAGACAACTGATAATTTATAGAAATGATAAAATGAAATAAGATTATTTCTTTTTCATAGACTGATGTCATTAAAGGATTGATAGCAAAAGTAGAACTCAATCTTATCACTAGTTTTGAAGCAGAGAAACAATTAGGGATTATTAGCAATTTATTGGTAAAACAAATTATATTGCTGCTTATCAGCGATGCAATTATTTGCTAAATTTAAAATAACATATTTTTTTAATATCCTTATTGAAAAGTTTCAATCGAATTTAACTTTAACTTTAATTTCTTATAGCATTCAATATTCATCATTAAAAATTTGTTCATGACTGCTTAATATTTAATATTTTGTTACGCTTAGAAATTTTTTTGTCCAACAAAAATTTTCAAAATGTTTTAAATTGTAAAATCAAAATTTATTTTCAACTTTAATAAATCATTTAAAATTATATTTATTTGATCATAACATAACTGAAAATATCATGCAGAGTCGAATATGCATGTCGTCCATAATCACTAGAATGAGAAATGACCAACTATTTACAAAATCGGTCATATCGTTATTAATCAAAGGTCATTGCAAGGTGTTAGTCATTAACAATCAATGCGACATCCGCTGGAACCTAATTCTTCCAGCCAAATAAACTAAATTCTCGACTAATTTATGACTATGAAATTAATAAATTTAAGCAGGGATCATTGTGAAAGTCTTGCAGTTTGTATCAATTTAAACAAAGAAATAAATTTAAATTTCATTTTAATTAAGTGCTAACAGAATTATGAAATAACTTATCAAAAAAAAAAATTATTTTGAACTTAAATGACATTTCTATTTGCAGTGCATGTGATCTGCTCACACCTTGCCGTCGTCATTTAACAATTTAAGCAAAAAGAATTTTAAAAATTTCACTTTGGAATATTTAAAAGACGGAATTGATAAAAAATGAGACCACCACCTCACCTCTTTTTTTATTATCATCATTTTTTTTATTTACTATTTTTAATTTTTTTAATTTTTTTTTTTTTTATTATACATACGCTTTACAACAGACCAATGTTTTCATTTGATTATTAGGTAATGAAATAAATTCGTTTAACATTAACAATTTCAAGCCTCACTTTATTATGACATATTCGTCTATAGTCTTCTGTCTTGGAGGACCAAATCCCAAACCCCAGTTGACAGTCCGACGTAATTTGACATGATCTTACGGCCTTCGTCAAACGAGTTGCATAATAGTGGATTTTGAACATCTCAATGAAAATGGGAACCAAGTCATCTACTACCAAAGTCGGAATTACAAATATGTCGGAGAAAGCTAAATGCTTGCAAGATAATGTGTCTGTTATAAATAAATAAAATGACGAATACTATTATTATTATTACAACAAATCTAACTTTAAAAGTCAGAGAGTAAAGCAGTTGAATTAAATCCTTGCTGAACACCACCGATGCTGAATTCATCAATGTTGAAGTGATACAGCCAAACATTACGCCTAAATAATTAAGTTGCAATTCAAAGCAGCATAACAGCCAAAAAAATTCCACTAATCCTAGAAATTCAATCTGTATTAATATTAGATTCAAGACTGAATGTTTCGTAAAATGTGAGCCGAGAAAAGTTAAGCAGTAAATCATTAAATTTCATCTTATAAATGTTTCGTATAAGATCAATTAATTCAGATAATGAAGCTTAACTATTACATATTTCTCCTCAAAACTTTACTTCGTCGAAATAACTATTTATTACAAGTACCGATTATCCTCCAACTTGAAATTACTATTTTACATGTTTTTTGAAAAAAGCTTTCAGAAAAAGATTATGCTTCAAAGTGCTAAGGAAAATGAAGAGCAAATAATTTAACCTATTGTGAAAAGTTTTCTAGAAAATTCTAAGAGAAGGAATATCGATTGCCAATAACCAATCGATTGGTAACCAAAACTGCATGAGATCCAAGCAAAAAAAAAAAAAAAAATAAAAACAAAAGACACAAAAAAGAAACAAAAGAATGATTGATGATGATTTCGGTAAGAATGAGACGTTGGTCATAGTCGTTTAATAGAAATACATGTAGAAATAATATTAACATAGTTCACAGTAATATTTTTGTTTCCGAAACTGTACTTTCCTTTGTGTTATTCAAGTAAATGAGATTAAAGGTTGTCTTTATTTTAGTTCGAAGAAGTTTCGGTAGAATTTATACTTTCTAACTTAACTGCTCACGTCCGCTTACGCCGTCAACTCTGCTTTCCGATCAGTCTAATCATAGAGAGGATAGCAGTTTTCATAAAATTTAAAAGAAGGAAATTCGGAAATGGTACATGAACCGTGAAACGTTATGGACGTAGCTAACAAATCATATTTGAAATTTTGAATAAAATTAGATATGAAGGGACGAGGAAATGGAACGAAGTGGGAAATAAAAGTGCTAATAAAATGAGTTAGGTGATTCATCGAGGTAAAAATAATAAAGATTAACTGAAATTCATTTCATAGATTGAGATAGATAATTGAAATTCAAATAGAAATAGTGGAAACTGTTCCTTTGTTTCTTTGATATTTCACGTATATTTGATTTGACTGTGAAACGTTTTATCATTTCTTTCTGTTTCTATCAACAATTATTTCTCTGTTATTAATCTTTATTTACTTTTCGTTGTAATCATCTCCTAAATTTAGGAATTTTAATTTGAGTAACTGATGCAATATCCTAATCTTTACTATAGTTATAGGAAGTGCCAATGTTAATTTTACTATAATCTTTCAGCGATTTTTTTATAAATTGAAAGTAAAATAGATGAAATAGCAGTTTTGGAAGATTTAATGATGCTTAGTTGAAATAATAATTTGGTGACAGGAAAAAAATGTTTAGATGACAGTAAAACTTTCGGATTCTAGGCGATAAGAGAAAAACTTTGAATGAAAGCATAGTTTGAATTAAGAAAGTATTTTCAAAGTGAATGATAAGAAACTGTAGTTAGGAAATATTTATAGTTAAAGTGAAATAAGTCGTTGTATTATTACATAGAACATATATAGGTTAAGTAAAAAATAAGTGCATCAGTTATATATAGAAATAATAGAATTAATAAACTTATGCACAAGAAATGAAATAAGTAATAGAGTTATCGTATAAATATTAATTCATAAACAAATGCAATTACAATTGGTTGAATATTTACAAGTGGTATTTGATGGCTCACGGAGGAAGAGAATAACTGTGATAATATTTTAAGGATTTATGTTTTCTTATATCATCAAAAAATCTTATGTGTTTCAGATTGAAATAAATGCAAAAGGATGAGCAAAAATTTATGGCAACTGCTGAATATTTTCTTGATGAATCGATTACACGAATCATTCTCAGCAATTTTTTAAACTATCATAATGTGAAACATTTTTAGATCGAGAAAAGAAGTAAGCGTAGTGAAGAGGAGAAAAGGAAAAAAGAAAAAGAATGAGGTAAAATTTCTCTTCATATCATATTTCTATGATCCTGAATTTGAAACTGAAAAGTTGGTAACGCAATGTCCTTTATTTATTTTCCTTTTAAAAATTTGAAATTTCGCAAATAAGGATGTCTTGTACAGGAATTAATTTTGTTTTCATTCTGTTGTTTATATTTTCGTGTTATGTTTACTGAACATGTAACAAATTATAATTTATTTATTAAATCGCACTGAAATTTTGCTTGATTTTAATCTTTTTTTTTTCTATTTTATAAAAGTAGTAAGAACTACGATAAAGTTTGTAAAATTCCTAAATATTTGTTATTTATTTATAAATTCCAGGACTTACGAGTATGTGGAAATATATCCTGGTCCAAATTTGAATGTTATTGTTGGACTAAATAGAACAGGTTCGTTTATTACTATTGCTGTTTAACTTAATAAAACATTCTAATCATTAGTCGAATCTCGAACTTAAGACGAGAACCGAACTAAGGTAATATCAAGCTGATGTAATCTCCCTTATTTTGATATAATACTCTATTTTATTCTTATTTTTAAAGGCAAAAGCACAATTATTTATAGTTTATGTTTGGCATTTGGTGGTACTCCGAGATTATTTACTTCTAGAAAATAAGCATAGGGCGCAGTTGTCCTACCATCTCAGCAAAACTGCACGTACCATTCGCATTGAAGCATTCCTAAGGACACTCAAAGAATAGTCCGAGTATGCGGAGAATGTGATAAGAGTGAGTGCTATCTGCGCACATCTTAATATTACCGCTTGAGATGCAGAACAGATATTAGTTGTTGGTGCAATTGTCTTGATGAACAATAAAATGATTAAAAGTACTCCGAGATCTCTCCCTGTCCTCTGCAAGTCGAGCAATCACTTCTTTTCATAGTATTTATTCTTTTCAACAAGCAAAATGATAGGGCGCACTTATCCTTTTATTCAGCAAAACTGCACGTATGGTCGCATTAGAGCATTTCTGATAGTCTCAAAGAGTACTTGGAGCACGTGCATATCTTAATATTAATATTTGAGACAAAGTTGGGTATTACTTCCCTTCTTTACAAGTTGGGTATTACTTCCCTTCTTAACAAGTTGGGTATTACTCCCTTTCCTTCCAAGTTGGGCATTCATTTTCCTTCACAGCAAGTAAGTACTGCCTTTCATTCAATTGTATATTTTTTCTCTATAATACAACATTTATTCATTTTGGGGGCCATTTGTCCTTTTAGAGGGGTAGAGGTTGGGCGTGATAATTAGTGCATTTATGATTTATTATCTAACTGCTTAGAATTTTGGTGGTTTATTGGTTTTGTTATTTCTTTTAAATTTATATTGCTTGTTCAGCTTAATAATACTCTAAATATATTTTAGGTCTAAATGTATCTGACTACCCTCACATTCTCCCATTTCCATTCTTTTTAAATTTCAGATTTTAAATTAATTGAAGTCTGCTTTGAATAAGTTCTTTTAATCCAACATTCCTATAGCAAAGCTATAAGAATATTGGATTAAATTCTTATAACATATATTTTATACTTTTTTTTTCAGTTGAATTGCCCTACTTTTTGCCCTACAGAATATTTTGAACCATGTTGCCTTTTTTAGAAGTATTTCTGCTTGCAAGTGTAGTTCAGTACGTAAGAATTCAAAATTTGGTTTGAAATGTTTGTTGTTCTTGTTGTTCTACAAAAAAAATTACGTCATTCTTACTGACCACGTAGTTCTTATCCTAATTTTATGTCATTAATTAAGTTTATTAATAATGCATAATTACTAGACAAAATTAGTAATATCATGGCCAAGTTTAATTCACTGCAAAATTAGCAATATCATGGCCAAGTTTAATTCACTGCAAAATTCTGAACGCTGATTTTTGTTCACATTAGTGACACTGAAAGATTGTAACGTTTTGTTTTCATTGTTTGTTTTCTTTTTTATTTGTATTTGCTCAATATTACTTAATTTTTCTAAAGTTTTCTTGCAATTAATTATGAAATAAATCACAATGATATAAATAGATATTTCGGTAAATAGGGTGGCCCTTTTACAAAATGGCGGGGAAGTACATTTGCACTGCTCTGTTTTGAAATTGAGCAATTAGTGAGAGAGATCGGAAGTGAGTTACAAATGTCATTAAGTATTGAAGAAACTTTTTCCTTATTTTTTCCAAAGTTTAAAAACTTTCCAAAGTTTCGGATGAAATCATTGGTTCGATGTGACCTATTAGTCATTCATTACGCATTGGTACTTAATTGATATTGAAATTTGTGATTGACCCCAGCAGCAGGTCGGTAGATCATCATCTGGTAAATTAGGCAATAAAGAGAAAATAAAATTATGCTCAATCTGATTCACTTGTTCATAATGAGAATGGTGCATAGTACATGGCTAATGTATTCATTGCTTTAAAATTTTAGGTTTCTGATTTGCTTTGATCTTTGCTTTGTTTTGAAGCTAAGTTTCAGGGGGAGGGGGGGAGGGGGCATCACTCTTTCTGTAATATATGGAAGAAATTGGTTGAAATATTTTGTGATCTTAATGATCAATTTTGAAATGTTGGTAAGCTCAAAAATAAAAAATTAGGGAATTAAAATTTAAGAAAATTGTTCCAACAAAACAAAAAAGGGATAAAAAAAGATTTAAATTAAAGAAAAAAAGATTTAAATTGAGTTATGAAGTACTCATGAGTAATCCTTAACTGTATTTAAGATCCTAATTCTAAAATACTATTTCCAAAAATGAGTACTAAGTAAAAAATTTCAATCCTTATTTTTGCTTACTGAAATATTTACTGGTCATATACCAAAGATGACAATAAATTCAGTTTCACTCATTTCCTACACCTTCCAGCTTTTTTCAAAATCTACATGTTCTTGTGTTCTAACAGGGAAAGGCCTTCTGTTTCCAAATTTAGACTTGAATCATCTTGTAAGGTATTCATATCATTCTATGAACACTTGCTTTTTTAATTATTATTTCAAAAAAAAATTTAAATGTAGTTTTGATAAATGCATAAGCATTGAACACAATTTAGTGCATTTGTATTTTGTTTAATCATTGAATTATTTTATATTTCTGAAGGAACGATAGAAGGAGAAAGTGAGCAATTTATTTTAACATTTTTTTGCTACAAAAAGAGAAAAAAGAGAGAAAAGAAAGAGATTGTAATTTAGATGAAAAGAGAAAGTTATCCCATTAAATCATTCATATAGAGTTTTGATATTTTGAATTTTCTTGCTATTTGCAATAATAAATGCCAAAAAAGAGAGTAGGAAATGCTTCGATGGTAGGTCAGAGTCTGAGCTATGTCAAATTGAGATATATCAGAGATTGGAAAGAGAGAGAGAGAGAGAGAGAGAGGGCAAATAATATCTCTGTAGAAAACAAAAGGGTTGGACAGTCTGCTTGCAGTCATTGTGGGCGCAAGAAAATGTAGGGAGGTACTTCCTTTTGCTTTCCTTCACTTTCGCCATTTGTTTTTTTCTCGTAGTGGGATTGGATTAGGAGAGGGTATTAATATTTGGTATGAGTCATTTTAAGTAAATTGAAATGTGCAAAAGCTTTTTGCATTTATTTCTTGTATTGGATGAGTTTCAAATAATTTTGTTAATTTTCAGATTTTGTTAATTTCAGGAAGACCTTTAAGTTTTGTTTGTTTACAGCGTTAAAACAAAATGATACTAATAATTACAGTAAATGTATGAATTGTAACTACTTTTTCAGGAAAAATTATTATGTATATACATTTGTTATTTGTTTTGAAATACGTTTAGCTATGAATTTCACTTGTAATATTCAAATTTTCTTTTTAAACTTTGGAAGAAAAAATTTTTCCAGATTTGCATTTATCTTATTGATTACTACAAATATAATTTGTATAAAAATGGTGTTATTTTTTAAATTTTCTTTCATTGTTGCAAAAAAACAAAAGTTATCGGTAATAGTACGGTTGTTTGTTTATGTTTGTTATGATGGAAAATGATTGCATGGATGGAAGGTTGTCGCAACTGATAGAATCCATTGATGACAAAATTCGAGCAATTGCCCTAAATGCTAATGTGTCATATGAAGTAATTTAATGCTTACTAATTAATTAATTGAATCAAATTATAGAAGAATGGTATCAGTAATAGCTTGCGTGATTTAATGCTTAATATTTAATTAATTAAATTAAATTATAAAAGAATCATTTCGCAGATAGCTAATCACATGTTGTTTTCTTAACTTTGCCAAAAATACAATAGTGATTTATTAAGTAATAAATAAGTTTTAATAATGGTTTTTTTTTTAAAAAAGATTTATTAAGTTGCTTTTAATATATGGAAATTTTTGTACTAAAAGCATAAAAAAATGATGTAATTGTAATGAAAATGATTTCTTATAATGATCGAAATTTTCTTTTTTTCAACAAAACTATCAAAAAATCTATTATTAGTAAATACTTTTTTTTTCCAATATTACCAAAACATTTTTTTCAATAAAATTAGCAAAGAAGTATGGTATAATAAATTTTGAAAAACTTTGATTTGATAGAAAAATTGAAAAAATGTATATATACTTTAGTACTAGAAACTACATTTTTTGTTCGTCATTTTTTATCATTACTTAATAACTAATTGGTTATATTCAAAAAATTTTAATGTAATCTTAACAAAGTTAGAAGTAGAAAAGTTTTTCGCTTTTTTTCTTTTCTTTATTGGAAGACTTTTTTTTTTGCTGAAATTCATTTTATTTTGCCAGAATGCTTCATGCATTAGCTTTTCCTGCCATAATTTATTCAATTATATTTATACTGATGCTATGTTATATCGTAAACAAATGAATAAATAAATGGATATTATATATCATGCTTATACTGATGATCCATAGGCTAATTTTATTAAAGTCATTTCAGTTTTATAATTAATTAAGTAATGATGTTGCATTCATTCTTTTAAGTATATCTGATATTTTCAATTAAATTTTTGAAATAATTAAGGATTTACGAAATGGATATGTAATGTCATGCTTACATATCACTAAGCCTTTCGAGTATAACATTAGCAATTTAAAGGCAAAACAAAAGGTTTGTAATTTACACTAAAATTTTTCAAGAAAAATTTGTAATGAAATTCATTTTGCGGAAGAAAAGAAAACGTTTCCAACATTTCAAATTTTATTTATTAAAATCAAAAGTTAATTCCTGAAATTTGAGATAATATCTGAAATGGTAACACGAACAGAAAAATACGAAGATAAGACGATAGAACAGCCTGCAGTTGATGATAATATCACTATGCAGGTACAAGAATACAATATGTTGTCACTGATTAGAACTGATAAGAACATCTTTAGCGTTTTTGTCACATTCACTTTTAATATTATTATGCTACTGCAATTTGTTTCACTAGTTATGTCTTTGCATTGAATGAATATTTTCATTTAAAATAATAATAAAAAAAGCAGAAAATTAATATTTTTGAACAAAATTTAATTTAAAAGAAAAAGGATAAAATTTAGAAATGAAACATTCCAAATCATTTTAACCTGTGAATTATAATTAAAACTGTTGCTAAACATGCAAAGTACTTGAAATACTTGAATCTGACAGCAATGCAAAAATTTGGTGAATATATTTATCAAGGTGAATGTATCAAAAAGTAATGGGAAAGAGAAATTAAAAATATATTAATAATATAAAAATTAAAAAGTAGAAATATACGAGAATGAAATGATGCTAAAATAAATTACAGGATGAGAAAAGTGATAATCAATTGAGAACTTATCAAAATATACCGATTAGTAATAAAAAAGGTTAATTATAAGAATTTTTTATTCTTATTCCAGTTCCTTTTACGTTTTCTCTTTTTTTTTTTTTTTTTTTTTTTTTTAAATTTTAGTTCATACAAAGAAACAACAACGAAATGAATTTGATTATAAATTTGGTTATGGCAATAGTAGCAAGCGTAAATCATTTATGCGTCAACGAAATCAGCAAAATTTTTGCTTTCGAAGTGGTTTGCTAAATAAATAACTTTTTCGAGAAATTATCAATTATTATCAGAAATATTTTTGGAATTTTAATTTCATTTATCACATTGCAAACAAATGATTTTTCTTAATGATTGATAATAGATTTTAATGATAAATGATGTTTATGATAAATTTGATAACTTATCATATATCTACAAATAAACAAATGATACTTGTAAATTGGATAACTTCGTGTTGAAATAATATAATAGTAAGTAAAATTTTAATAAATATAATTAGTAATATAGTAACAAATAATTATGCAATTTAGTAATGAAAATAATTTAGTACTTGTAATAATTTTTTTTCCTCAATTCAAGTTCGAGGTTCAAATGTGTTACCACCAGTCATTTCTGCTCCAAATAATACTACTAATCGAGTTCGTCCCGTAGGTTTATTCTTCTAATTCGTTGAAGCCATCAAATTATTTTTATGTTTTATATAGAATTAAGTACTAAATTTAGGGATACAATATCGTTGAAATAATCAGTAATATATTATGTTTGTTGACAATATAAAAATATTTTTAGTAACTAAGAAGTATCACTAATAATAATATGAAAATATCTATGATAATAATACAAAAAGTATGGCTGGAAATTATCAGTGATTTTAGTTAAATTTTTTTCTGCTTACAAAAAATTTTAATTTCAGTTTTTTTTATCACATAATCAAAATACAAGGCTTGTACACGATAATTTCATTTAATTTTTTTATCATTTCCAATTATTTCATTTCAATTTAGTATAAAATGAATGATAATGAACCTAATGGTAATAATGGATCGTTGCAACCAAAAGATTCGAATAATAAAAAAGTAACAAAGTTTATTTGTGATATTGAAGGTAAATATTCAGCAAAAATGTGTGATTTAAATTAAGAAAGCTAAAAATTACATTAGTATCATTGCATTGCATATTTAAAGTATGTTGGAGAATTTTAAAATCACACAAATTTAGTTTGATTTTGACAAATTGAAAAAAAAAAAGATAATAAGTACCTAATGATTATAAAATTATTAACTGTTCATCATCAATTCATCAGAAAAGAAAGGAGAAAGAAAGAATATAATTTTAAATATAATTTAAAATTTGGAATAAAATTTTTCTTTTTACTTGGAATAAAATTAAGGTAACAGATGGCTTAAACAACAATTTTGATTATCAAATCAAATTTAAAACAGAAGAAAATTAAACGAATAATTAAACATAGTAGTTTATAGTTTATTAACTGGAAAATAGCTAAACTATGGTTAAAATATTCAAGTATTTCAATCTACATACTTTTAAAGCTACACTGAAAGGCTACAATCATATCAAATTCCAATCAAATGGTAAAAAAAAGAAAACTAAATTCTATGATAAATTGAATATCCTTCAGAACGTTTTTAAAAGTAATATGCAATTTCAGCAGCATTAGAAGGTGAAATATCTGATATGGAAGATGAAAGAGGACAAGTCAGCACCGATAATAATAAATTTAATAAAGTAGAGACAATTTGCTTCCTTTTTTTTTTGAAAATTAAAATATTAAAACAATTATACATTATTATGTCAAATCAATCCAAATTATCTCAAATTTTCTTTTCTAATTAATTATAAATAAACTAATTAACCAATGTTATATAGCATAAAAATTTCATGAATTAAAGAAAAAATAAAATTTAGTATATATTAAAATGAAACAAAATTTTGTATGATTCATCTTATTAATATTTACAAAGTTATGAATATTTTATCTGTTAGAATCATTATTTTATCTCATTAAAAAAGAACCAATTTATTCTGATCAATTCTCAAAAATTAATTTTCTAGTTTTAGTTATCAAATGATGATGCTGAAGAAACCATAAAGAAGGTTCAAGAAGAAACAAATAGAAATCATTTAGAAGCAAGAATTGTTCGTTATCCTAATGGACAATCATTGGCACTTAATATCATTCATAAAGTAATTATTTCATTTAATAAATCATATTAATAAGATTAATCACACTAAAATTCATAAAGTAATTTTGCTTAATTAATCATATCAAAATTTATAAATCATTTCATTTAATGTGATTAATCATATTAATAAAAATCAATTATTTATTTTGCAATTTTTTAGTTATCATAAAATTGAATTGAAAATGAATGAATGAAATGTTGCAGTAATTATTATTGACTTAATTATTTCTGAAAATTATTGTAGTTATTATTATAAATTTTAAACTGCCAATAAATAAGTTTTGTATTTGAATGGAATGATTAATCTGATATTTACTAATCTTAGGTATACGTTGTCCACTTAGAGGATACTTATGCATGGGTTCGTCTCTCCGATGACATTGAACCACCGTGTTTTGATCATGTATACGCCGTAATGAAAGAGACACAGTCGTTACAGTGGGAGGAATTGTTACCTGGAACACCGTGCGTGGTACTTGCACGTTTCAGTTCACGCGATATCGTTAATGGTGGAACAGCACGTGAGGTCACGAAGGTTTGAATAGACTGATTTATAGCTTATAACAACTAAGACAATATTGCATAGAAGTTTGAGTAATGTATTATGTATGTAATATTAGCATAATATATAATAATAATAATAACTAATAATAGCTTAATTGATATTAGTTGATTAATTAACTGATAATAATAGAATTAATAATGATAACAATAGTGATAGTAAATATTGGCAATAATGATGATAATAATGATAATAACAATAATAAATAATAATAATGATAACGATAATGGTAATGATAATGACAACAGTAATAATAATAAAATAATGACTAACAATAAGAGCTACACTATTACTACTGTTGCTATAGAAATATTTATATTGTTATAATTTTTTAACAAACATTCATCAATCAATGAAAGCCTAAATATTAGTTTAAAATGAGAGCCAAGAAAATTAATGTTTAAATTATATTTGGTTTGATAAAATTAGACAAAATAAAAAATTGTTTATGACAAACTTTTAATTATGATAATAACTTTGAAAATCGAATATTACTTGTAAAAATATATTCCAAATACAATGCATATATATGTAAAAATTTTCCTTTCCTTATTCCATTCAACAATTTTGATATAATTAATACTTTTAGTTTGAATCATATGCTCGTGCTATTATTGAAGAACGTCACAATACGTCAAAAACAGTAACCGTTCGTCTCGTTGATTTCGGATTTCGTCTCACGCAATTAAGCGTCACAACTATTAAGCCACTAACAATCGCATTTGACGGACCACCGCTAGCATTCCGATTGCTAATTAATTCATTACCAAAAGTGATGTGATAACTTTGATAATACTTTCATAATTAATTATTATACATTTAGTAACTAAAGTTTATAGTTACATGATGAATTAAATTAATAGCAAAATAAAAAGATAATAGTATATTTTTTTGGATGATTAAAAAAATTATCATTATCAGATTTAGTCTCACCATAACTTTTTTTTTTTTCACTAAAATAGAAACAACTTTTCAAAATGCTTTATCTAGTAAAGAAGAAAATTTGAAGTTTTTTCCTTTTTTATTTTTGATTTTAAAGTAATAATTTGAATTTAAATTTAGCAGCAAAAAGAAACTTTATGTCGATATGCAACACTACGTGTTCGACTTACAGTATCACATGAAAAGCAATTTTTGTGTTGGTCAAAAACTTGGAAAGCAATTGATATTAGGGTTAACAGAAAATTATTATACACGTAGCATAAATTATTTTCAAAAATAACGTGAACGTCAACAAAATTTTCACGTTATTTGTAACGTTAGAATTATAAAATAATACCGCGAAATAAATCAAAGTTTTAAGTGAAAATTTTTAAGTAAAAATGATAATAAAATTTAAAATATCAAAATATTCATTCTGCCATATTTGAAAAATTAGTACAAATTATTTTATTGACAAAATCATTTAAAAATGATTCTTAATGATATTTATGATGAAGCTATTTCATCTAATTTATTACATTTCTCATCAATTAGTTAAAGTAAATTATAATAGTTGAAGTTATTGATAGAATAATTTCAATTATTTCATTCTAATTAATAAAAACCTGCTTTAATGTTACAAATAAGTTAACAATTATTAATTTATTAGTTAATTTGCATTGCAAGTTTTATTTTATAACTTAGTTTAATTTAGAAAGAAAATTGGATTAATTGTTCGTCAAGCACAAAATCATTTGAAATGTGCAGTTTGAATGATCAACAACAATGCGGTGAGAATAGCATATACTCGTTTATGCTAATTAATCATTCTTATCATAATGAATTGACTATTTGATTTTGTCAATTTCTGGTTTAATGGTATTTTCTTTTCGTTTTTTTCTTGGCTTAATAAGAGGCTTGGCTTAATAAGAAACAAAAAAGAGGCCATTGGACATGACATATTGAGGCTGTATTTATTAGTAGAATAGCTAGGCATTATTTGAATTTAACTTACTTAACATTATTAATATTCAAATAATCCGTTATCATTTTTTTATTTCTCTTTTGAAATATGTAATTTGAATATTGATTATATTGAAATTTCATTAGTTTTGAGAAGAAGAAAAAAGAGCTAATAGTTTTGTTATTAAACTAATAATAGCCAAGGCTAAAATGTAGAATGAAGGTTAATTAGAGCTTAGACTATAGGCTTTATTAAGTCTTAGGCAACTTTTTGGCAAATAACAATCGTATCAGACAGCAAAACTTCATTGCTTTTAAATAATTCAAAAAAAAAAGGAAAATGAATCTGTGATGAAGAATAATATTTATTTAATTCATTAACTATTAAAAAGAAAAATTTATGCAATAAAAAATTTTATTTCATAAAACTTAAAAAAACTTTAGTAAAATTAATTGAAATTTTTTAAAATTTGATTTATATATTCATATAACTGATAACTAAAATCATCTTTTAGTTACTTTAAAAAAGAAAAAGAAAATAATTGTTGGTAAAAATTATGTCTAAATTTCTGTTATTTCTAAAGTAATTTTATAAGTTTATCATTAGTTATTTTCTTTCTTTCTCTTTTCTATTTTTTATAGAGATTTATGATTTTTTCAAAATTTATAAATTTCTTTTTAGATTCCAATGAATGTTTAAGTCAGTTAACGCGTGATCCCGCTACGGTAATTTAATTATTTAATTTAAAATTATAAATTCGGATATTAAAAGATTATAATATGGAAAATAGCAAGAGAAAACAAGGAAAAAAATTAGAAATGCATCTGAATAATTGGTATTTTGATAAAATTTTTTCATTTAAAAACTATTTATTAAATAATAAAATGTAAATTTCGCGATCAAATGGCAATTAAGTTATTATTACTATATGCATACATTATTTTTAATTTTGTATAATTTATCGAAGATTGAGAATGATCAGCCAAAAAGTATTAAAAAAGATCACATGGAAGTGCTAAAGAAAGAAAGCGAAAAAAAAGGTAATTAAATTAGCAATATTTGCAGTATTTTTATTTAATATAATTATTAAATTAATATATTATTTTTGCTTATTAGAAGGATATTATTCGGATATTAATTTATCATATTAAGCTATCATTAATAAGATGTTAAGATATTAATTAATTAACTCATTACTACTAAGATACTAATTTATTAATTTGTCATTTTCATTATAATTTCTTATTTTATCACTATGTTATTAACATATTTATCATTAAATTATCATTTTATGCTGCTTAATCATCATATAATTCTTATAATTATTGATGACAAAATCATTAAGATTATTTGATAAATCAACTTTATTCTAAAAAATTTTATTTGACATTTACATATTATATGAGAAGATTTGCAGAGAAAAAATGGCAAGCAATAAAAGTGAATTCAAATGGATGTAACTATCGAGAAAATTCTAATCACCGCGGGAATTCTAATTACCGGCAGAAATCAAATCATCGCGGGAATCCCAACCGCCATAAAAATTCTGATCACTGGATGGATTCTATTCATCGCGAGAAGTCAGATCATCGTAGGAATTCCAATTATCGTAAAAATTCTAATTATTATGGAAATTCCAGTGGTTGCGAGAATTCAAATCATCGCGGGAATTCTAATCATATCAAAAGTTTCAATCATCGGTCAGAATTTTGATAGTACTGCAATTGAAATAAAAGATTAAAGAAAATTTTTCTTTTTTATTTCTTAATATTTATATTTTATAATTTACTTATTAGTTATTTAGCTTTTTTTAATTCATAAAAGACTATTAATTGAGATATTACTTGCACATCTGTTTTGTGATGTTTTATTCATATATTATTATTAATTTAAAAATTTGAATGAAAATTACACTTTTTAACTTTTTTATAATTTAGATTTTTTGTTATATTTTTTTCTTCTCAATGCTCATTAATTTAAATATGATATGTAAATTTTTCATCATTTTCATTATTTATAAAGTTTTATGGTATGCAGAATAATTAATTATGAAAAAAATTTTTTGGATTGTGAAAAATTTTTATATCATTTAAATTTGAGCTAAGTTTGATATTATTTTTTTGAAAAGCATTTGACACTTTTTTTCCAATTAATCTATTTGTAAAGTAATTTTTAGTTCTTACGTTGCTGAAATTTTAGAAAACAGAAGATATTGTCATGTTAGATGCGCAAATGTCATCTTCATCGATAAATGCTCTACATTTGTGTTAAGATTTTGATTCAATTTAAAAATTCATTTTTTTCACTCTTAAAATTACAATCATTGTCATTCTGCTTCTTTTATGCAATAAAATTTCTATGTTTTACTTCAATATTTCGTTGTGAAGACGAAAAGTCAGGAATTTAGAATTTATTGTTAATGTGCTAGAAGCTTTTGTTCAAGAAATGAGTATAATTTTGAGCAAATATTAATGATTTTATATTAGTATTAAACTTTTATTTCAATGAAAAATAAAATTTAGCATATGTAATTAAAAAATTTTTCATTTTTCAAAAAGTCATTTTTATGTAAAATTGTAAAATTCAGAATTTATATAAATTAAGGAATTTTCTAACAACTATTTCACTTAAATTCATCTAATAAGCAAGAAATAAGATTTTTTTTTTAAAAATAGAGCACTTCAGAAGCAAAATAAAAATAATATGAACCATAATTATTCGTTTAACTTTTTTTGTAAGCTAAAATTTTTTTCTCATTCGATTTTATTAATAATTGGTAAGAATAATTAATTATGAAAAAAATTTTTTGGATTTAATGCAAATGAAAAAAAATTTTTGGATTCAATGCAAATTCACCACTTTTTTTCTTTTTAATTAAATGATAAATTTTAAGTATTAATTAAAAATAATATATTATGTGAGATTAAAAGAAGAGGAGTGCAATAAAAGATTTATTGAAGAGGTCACAAAATCTGATATCACAAAAGATCAAATTTATAGTACCATGAAGAGATAAGATGAGAAAAGGAAAGAGAATAGGAATGTATTGATGAAATAAAACAATGGAAGGAGAAAATTTTAAATTAATTTTGAT